TTTTTCTTTCCGTTCTATGCAAAAAATGTTTTCTCATTGTTACTTTATTCGTTTATGTTTATTGATAAGTTTTAAGACAATGAAAAACAATGAAAGATTTGCATAATTAAGTTGATGACGGTAAAGAAGCAATAATTTGAAGATTTTCTGGTTTTTTTTCTTCTCATTTTTTTTTTTTTTTTTACTGCATGTTCATTACGGGTTTCCAATGCTTTTATGTATGTATATTTATTGCTTTATATGAGTCAACATCTGACTGCACAAATGCTTTATTCAATGTCAATGTCTTAAAGTGAGTAACTTCAAGCAGACAGATGCCTGTTTGGATACACCAATGTTTTCTCCGTTATTTTTTTGTTGATTGTAATTTTTTTTTTTTGTTTTTATTCGATTGCTTAAAATAAATTTTCGTTATAAAATATGATGAAGTCTAAAATTGGTTTTTGTTCGGAAATGCTAACCTGATATGAACAGCAGAAAGAACACTTAGTCAATTTGCAGTTTCAATGTAACGGACGATTTGCGCTCCGAATACATAAAAGATATATGTAAAAAGCATCCAAAATTATAGCATGTAAATAAATAAATAAACAATTTAGCATAGATAATTTGTAGTTGGTTGCAAAAAAAGGAGAAAAATTTGCAAAAAAATTTATTTGATCTTTGTTACACATAATTTTATAGACGGTTACTGTCTGCTGAATGAAAGAAAGCCCATGTATAAATTGTCAACCATTAATCGTTTAGTGTTGGGCAAAAAACTCAAAGTTACCAAACAATTCTATCCTTTTTTTTTTTTCCTTTTCGCTTATACAATATATTGGGTACTTATAAGACATCTATAAATTGAGTTCCTACAATTGAATAGATCATCAATTGTTCTTTCACACATCTTATTTCGTTTCTGTCCCTTTTTTTTTCCTTCGACCCTTCCTTCTGTCTTTCTCCCGTCCCCTTCGTATGCTTCTTGATTTTCGCAATAAAAGCAACCTTTTTTAAACCGGTTACCAATTGAAAATTTATTGGAAGAACATTGCAAAATTTATAGAAACTTATTTGGGCAAAAATAGTTTTTATGAATAGCCAAAATAAAAAGGGTTTATTATTGCAGCAGTTTTTTTTTTTTTTTCTTTTGTTGTGTGCAAAACGAGTCCATTATATTTCACTGGTACTTAGCTAGAAAAAAAAAAAAAAAGCATAAACTTGTTGTTATAAAATAACTATATTTACTGTAATAAGGCTGAAATTTGTTCAAATACTTCTGGGTACAGAAACCAAAAATTACAAAAAGGAACAAAAAAGAATAAAGGAAAAATTTTTTTTTCATGTATTCAACCATCTTAACAGTTTGTTGTTATTGTTCTGAAAACAACTGGAAATTGATTGCAGTGAAGTGGATCATTATTAGGATGCTAAAAATTGGATTAAGCTTTTTTTTTTTCTTGTTTGAACTGCTAAGGAAAAGCATTTTAGGCATTCTACAAGGTATCACTACCGGAATCACTGATTTCTGCCTCCAAAAATTATATACTCACTTCAAATCTTTAGATTTCAGCCCTAATAAACGTTGCAAACTAAAAGCAGAACCGTACCCGTGTATAGGCGGCTTTAATGATGGTTGAAAACCGGCTAAATAATAATAAAAAATCTTTGTCTGTCACTTATTTCAACATTTTTATAGCCTCTTAAAATGAATTCACAAACACAGTGGATTCAACATGCCAAATTCGGTTCTAACAAATAACGGTCAGATATGTTTGTCAAATTTTAGTCTTCAAATATGCCTAGAAACAGATGCTAAAGCTGAGAATGAAACTTTTTCAGCTTTTTACTCTTAAATTAGAAAACTGTAATCTATAATTTTCTCCAATAAAAGACCTCAGTTCTTCTCCAGTTACAGACTTCACCTTCAGGCTTTAGTTAATCGATCTCTTGTGATAATTATTTCAAGTACTCTGTTTGTCGGTCAATCAGTTACACTTTGTTGCTCCTAGAATCTGTGTTTTGTGCAGCTCATAAAAGTTTTCTAACTTTAAGAATCATTAGTCGTGCTACAGGTGAGAATTAAGTTTACTATTTGACCTACTTACAGCTTTTCTCGCTTTTTTTTTTTT